GGAAAAGGGGGAAAAAAAATGGCGGACAGCCTTGCTTGGCGACCCCCGTGAAATGGTCGATCGACCCCAAATGGGGTCGTGACCCATAGGTTGAGAACCGCTGTTCTAACTCTTTTAGAATTTTAATGGACTACAGGTGGTCCTCGACTTATAACCATTTGTTTAGTGTCCATTCAAAATCAAAACAGCCCTGTAAAAAGTGACTTATGAACATTTTTCGCACTTTACAACCATTGCAGAATCTCCATGGTCACGTGATCAAAATTCAGACGCTTGGCAACTAACTCATATTTAAGATCATTGCAGTGTCCCGGGGTCATTGGATCCCTTTTGCGACCTTCTGACAAGCAATGGGGAAGCCAGATTCACTTAACAACCGTGTTCGTAAAAATGGGCCCAAAATTTACTTAAAAACTGTCTTGCTTAGCAAGAGAAATTTTGGGCACAGGTGTGGCTGTAAGTCGAGGACTACCTGTACATCTTCTAGCAAGGCTTAGTGCCTGGGGAAAATCTAGTTTGGAAAGGCAGGATGCCCCTTTCAAAAACCTAAAAGTAAAAAAGGCAGATATGCCCTGGACGAAGGATGGGATGGGGCTGCTGAGAAGATCTCAACAGTCCTTTTCTAAACGTCTTAAAGGAAGAATGTGATAAAAACAGAACAATTGTTACTGGGTGCAAATCAAAGCGTAGGACCAGCACCCAGTCATTGGCCCTTGGAGCAAGCAAGGTTTCTGTTTAGCCCTGTAACAGGAAAAGCACAAGCAAAGATATCTATGTAAGAAGACAACTGCTGTAGCCACCTTTGGATTTCTCCCATAGCTCAAACCTGGCCACTTTAAGACTTGTGGACTGGCTGGCTGGGGAATTCTGGGATTTGAAGTCCACAAGTCAGTTTGAGGACCCCTGGATTAATCCTTTCTACAGGGAAATACAAAAGGTTAAGCCAGGGGTAGGCAACCTTGGCTCTTTTATGACTCGTGGACTTCAACTCCCAGAATTCCTGAGCCAGCATGGCTCAGCTTGGAAACCTCTCCCTTTCCCCTCAGCGTGGCTGGCTCAAGAATTCTGGGAGTTGAAGTCCACGAGTCATAAAAGAGCCCAGGTTGCCTACCCCTGACTTAAGCTCCCCTGAAGCTGGCATCTTGAAATGGTGTTTCATTGCAATTTCTATCACCTCAGCCAACGAGCCTCAGAGGCTCGGAAAAGACATGGATAGGTGACTAGCAAGACAGGTTCATCAGGAACCTACAAGCCCTCAAGGAACCAAACTACCTCTTCCAGCAGGTTCCATCATCCTGGTCTATCAAGCCACTGGGACTTCTCATTTAATCCCACCCGGAAGGCCCCAGGTTCCTTCCTCCTCTCAAAATAGATAAAGGAGAAACCATTTGAGAATCAAATCAGCAACAGTTCCATCTGCTGTATTGTTACTAAAGGCACAATTTTTGGGAAGCAACAAAGCAGATTAAAAAAAACACCTCTAATCTTAATCATTGTAGTAGGTGGTGCATCGTTCTGAACCCCTGCCGGTGAAAAACTTGATTAAACTCACTGTGCAAAACTGCTAGAGCCTGGAACATGTCCAAAATGCTCAGAATCTTGCATGGTTTTGCACTTGGAATGGTGTTATTTATATATTACTTACATATGTAAGGGTGTAGGCCTATACATATGGGGTATATAGTATGTTTTAAATATGTGTTATGTATGTGTACACTTTGAGAGCAAGCAACTAAATTTCATTTCTAATGTGTGCCGTTGTGCCCATAGGGGGAAAAATGACAATAAAGGTTATCTAATCTAATCTAAAAATAAACTCTTTTGCAGACCCCTAATTTATAGGGCTGTATGTGCTTTTAAAAATAGTTTGGGAGAAGTCTTTAGACCGTTGTAGGAGCACAACACCTCTTTTGTACATCAGTCTGAGAAAAGATACAATGCTTTAATGAGCTGTTGAGCCTCTTTAAAACAGCTGCATCTTTTTCCAGGCTCCCCCAGGAGCATGCCGGCTGGGGGATTCTGGGAGTTGAAGTCCACACATCTTAACATTGCCACGATTGGCAAACACTGCTCCAGATGTTTTAGGGCTGCTGTCACCAGATGACTGAAGAATTACAGGAATTTACATTTGGCCACATCTGGAAGGCATGGCACCGAGGAAGGCCCTTCTCTGTTTTTTCTTAAAGGGCCAGTTCATTCTCCTCCTCTTTCTGCTTTTCCAGCTGCATTCCATCTCTCCCACTTAGCTCATTCCCAACTACTGTTGAGGGAAAAGTTGCCTCTTTGTGTGTTTTTAATTTGTACCTTTGCATCCTTGGGGTTGCTCCTATGCTTACAGCTTCCCTCAAGTGATAGGGACCGATAATGTTTGCATAAAGTGCCTTTGCTTCACAGATAGGCCCCTTACCGGTTTTCCTGCCGTTCCTGCATCTGAAGCATCGCTCTTTGGGGTCTGTTCTTTTTCTATTACATCCATTTCATGCTCCATGTTTGTTTTTTTAACTTGCTCCAAACGGATTGTCAAAAGACTCTTCTACGTGGAAGGGTTTTCTGGTTTGCTATAAGAAAAAAAAAAAGAAACAGATTCAGTCCTCTTGTCATGGTTCTGACAGATGAAACTCTTCAAAAGAACTTCAAGGCATTGTTTACCTTAAAGCAGGCATGTCAAACTCCCGGCCTGTAGGCCGGATGCGTCATGCCAAAACCGCACCCACCCCATTGCCGGCAATGGGGAAAAAGTCACGATACGTCACATGATGTCACATAACGTCGCAAGTTTGAGCCTTAAAGCAGCGGTTCTCAACCTATGGGTCGCGACCCCATTTGGGGTCGATCGACCATTTCACGGGGGTCGCCAAGCAAGGCTGTCCGCCATTTTTTCCCCCTTTTCCGGCGGGTGCCTTACCTCCCTTGGGCTGGGCCAGCTGGTGGTCGGCCTGCTCCGTCTCTGCCGCTTGCCAGCTACGCCTCGGCCGGCGCAGGGGGCGGAACCACGCATGTGCGGCGCTCCCGGGCAGGGAAAGTCCTCGACTTACGACCGGTTGGGTAGTCCTCGACTTACGACCGGTTTAGTCCTCGACTTACGACCGGTTGGGGGTCGCGGCATTAAAAAGGTTGAGAACCACTGCCTCAAAGGATCTTTTATTCGAGTAGCAGAATATCGGTACTTACATAATCAAAGCCAAAAACTGAATCCCCCCCCCTGCATATAGCATCAAAGCACAATTCCCTTCTCCAATTAACAATCATAAATCACATTGCCCAATTAGCTTGAAGCGCGGGCTTCCTCTCCAGTTCTCCAGCCCGCCAATTCTTTATCAGTTCTGAGTTCAACCACCTTGATTCTCACTTTAGGTTTAGTGTTGTTATATCTAGCTGGATTCACATCCCCCCCTCCCAGCATGATCTAACTGTAAAAGCAAAAGGGAAAAAATGGCTACATGTCCATCTGTTGTCAATGCAAAAACATTCCGATATTAGCAGCGTCGACACCTCTTTGAGAATTTCAGGAATAGGACTTCTGAGTAAAAATCGACTCATTTGAGGTATGGTGCTGGAAAAGGCCCCTGTGTGTTCCTTGGACTGCAAAGGTGACTAACAAACAAGAATGTGTACGCATAACACCAGACATGTCACTGGAAGGCAAAATCACAAAACCATGTCTCGCTTATTTTGGCCCTGTCATCTGGAGGAATTCACTGGAGAAAGCAATTATGTTTGGAAGAGTTAGTGGTAAAAGAAAAGCAGGCCATCAAAGAACGCAATGGCTGGACACCATCAAAGCTGACACCAGCATAGAAAAAAAACCAAAGAAGTGCAAGATCGGAAGAATAGAGTCAGACTCGACCAAATGGAGCACATCATCATCAAAAATTATATAGTTAAAATTATTTTTAATTAAAATAATTAACAAATATATTAAATTTACAGAGTACATAAAGGCAGGCTATAAATACATAATTTTTTTAAAAAAATAATAAGATAAAGTGGGCTCTGAATAAATCGGAACTGTATTTAAGTGCATTTAATTCAGGCATATATTACCATCAGCACTTAGGCATTTAAACATAAACAGAAATCATATTCTCTGTTTAGGGTGGGGGAGAGAAATGTACACAAAGAAATTGGCTCCTTGTCTTGTAAATTTACCAGTGGAACAATTAGGAAGACAATTAATGGAAGGGAGAGGCAAATCTACAAAGAAATGGAATTTGGGTTGCCAATTTAGCAAGGAAAAAAAAGCCATTTCCTGCTTCTGGGGCTTTACTAGCGATTCACTGGGAAGAAAAGCAGCAGCAGCCAAGTATTTTTGAAGCATGTGTAAAAAAAAAAAAGCTATTGTCTGTTAAAGCTGCCTAAGTTGCTACAGGTAGTTGCTACAGGTAGTCCTCAACACACCACCATTTGGAACGGTGTAAGGAATGGTTGCTGGAATTGGGTATGTCTAGTTTAACGAAGAGAAGGACGAGGGGGGACATGATAGCCGTGTTCCAATATCTCAGGGGCTGCCACAAAGAAGAGGGAGTCAAGCTATTCTCCAAAGCACCTGAAGGCAGGACAAGAAGCAACGGGTGAAAAGTAACCAAAGAGAGAAGCAACCTAGAACTAAGGAGGAACTTCCTGACAGTTAGAACAATTAACCAGTGGAACAACCTGCCTCCAAAAGTGGTGAATGCTCCAACACCGGAAGTTTTTAAGAAGAGACTGGACAGCCATTTGTCTGAAATGGTATAGGATTTCCTGTCTGAGCAGGGGGTTGGACTAGAAGACCTCCAAGGTCCCTTCCAACTCTGTTATTCTGTTTGTCTAGCTCAGGGGTAGGCAACCTTGGCTCTTTTATGACTCGTGGACTTCAACTCCCAGAATTCCTGAGCCAGCATGGCTCAGCTTGGAAACCTCTCCCTTTCCCCTCAGCATGGCTGGCTCAGGAATTCTGGGACTTGAAGTCCATGAGTCATAAAAGAGCCAAGGTTGCCTACCCCTGGTCTAGCTGTCGCTTGGATTCCTACTACAGTTTTTCAGCCTGATTCCTGTTGTGCCTCTTCTCTCTAGTTAAGAGTGAAATATGTACAAGGAGTTTCAGTTTCATCTGTAAGTGTAGGTTGTGTGTGTGTGTGTGTGCATGCAGATATGTGTATATGTATGTATGTGCGGCAATATGTTTTTTTAAATTTATGACTGCATTACTTAATGATGAAGCTTCGGGGCCCAATTAGTATTATTAAAAAAAGACTATAGTACTGTATTCTGAACACACACCACACATGGTTCTCTGCCTACTTTCTTCTCTCTCACCCTGTTTACATATACAGATATTGCTGTATGCAATACAGACAGTGACAAGGATGCAACGATATCATAAAAAGGGGAACAGCAACAAAATGTTGCAGTATAAAATATCCGTAAGCTCAGAAGACTAAACCTCTCGTCCCAGTGAACCAACCTAGATGGGATCCTGCAGTATAAAATGTTTTTTGCAAAATCAGCAGTACTCCAGAAAAAATATCCCCTTCCACGGTAATCTGTTCAATTCTCTTTTTCCTCTTGCTAGTTTAAGACTAGTTTTAAGAGAATAAGATTTTTAAATGATTTTTTCTGCTGGTTAAATTCTCTCACCTTCCCTTTTTATAGATGGATAATTAGTCCTGCAAACCTTCAGTTCCTCTCCAAAGTAGCAGCTGTTGTGGCCTAGATTGTGTTGTTTTTGCCCACATTAGGGAGTCACATTCAAATGTAATGAGTTCCCTGTTAAGCCAGACTTCCTCAATCTAATTCTGTCTGGCTCTGCTGGATTACAACATCAATGATATTTACTCAAATGGCTATGCAGGCTGTGTACATGGGAACTGTAACAGAATAAGAGAGTTGGAAGGGACCTTGGAGGTCTTTTAGTCCAACCCCTAGTTTAAGCAGGAGACCCTATATCAGTGATGGCGAACCTTTTAGAGACCAAGTGCCCAAACTGCAACCCCAAACCCACTTATGCATCGTCGAGTGCCGGGTGGGTGTGGCCCATTGGCTGGGTGTGGCCAATTGGGTGGGTGTGGCCCATTGGGTGGGCGTGGCTGCAGTGATAACGGCAGACTGGGTGGGACTAAAAAGTTCAATCAATCCCAACTTTGCAAGAACTTTTTTTTCCCCGCAAGAAGTTAAAATTGACTGATTGAACCTTTTTTTTTTTTTGCACATGGCGGCAGAGGCCTAAAGCGAAAAGATTTTATAAAACCCAGCTGAAGGCCTAGGACTGGGGCAACGCCGTGCATGCCCACAGAGAGGGCTCTGAGTGCCGCCTCTGGCACACGTGCCATAGGTTTGCCACCATTGCCCTATATTATTTCAGACAAGTGGCTGTCCAGTCTCTTCTTAAAAGCCTCCAGTGATGAAGCAACCACCACTTCTGAAGGCAAAGTTGTTCCAATGTCCTCACTGTTAGGACGGTTTTCCTTAATCCCAGGTTGTTTCTCTCCTTGATAATTCTAGGTTGCTTCTTTCCTCGTAAACCAAGGTGTGTGTAGGTGACCAGAAAGGTTCCAATGTATGCATTTTCTTTAAAATACTCCAAACAGCCACAAATACAGAC